GACTTGATGGACTTTGAAAGTCATTCTCTTTGTTTTCAGGAGATAAAGACACTGACCCAGCTTCCTCGATACGTGGCCTTGGGCCAGTTGTTAAATCTCTTTGAGTAGCAGTTTAAAACGGCACCAGCAGCACCACCGGGTTCTGGGGAGGATTAAATGAGAGAAATAAAACAGTGGGAACAGTTCTTGGCCCTCAGTGAGCTCTGAATAACTGCACTGCCATCGGAGGGGGAGAAAGTGGTTTGTTTAATTATACCATGCTGACCAGCTTTTCGTTTATGTCTGGTGACATTCTTTACCTCCTTGGGTTTGTAGCTTTGTAATCCGTCTGTGCGGCAGCTAAGGGGTTGTTCTGCCTTCTCGTTCCCTCCCACTTCTCCCTCCTACGCGCCAGAGAAGTGGGCCCGCAGGGTCCTCCCCTGCAAGAGGGTGCAGCCGCGGACAGGCAGGACTTGCAGTGTCCATAGCTTCTCTCATCTTTGCCACATCGGGGTAAACTAAGGTAACCTGTTATGGTGGTGATTCATTTTGTGAATCTTCACGGAAAGGTACATTCTGTGGCCTACTATGTGTGCTGCTGAAGCGAGCACACATTCTGTGGCTTAAAGATGAATAAGTAAGGTTGAGTCTTTCTTTTTCTTCTTTATTTTCATGGTTTTTTACATTTATTTATTTTTGAGAGACAGTGCATGAGTGGGGGAGGGGCAGAGACAGAGAGAGAGAGAGAGAGAGAGAGAGAGAGAGAGATGCAGAATCCGAAGCAGGCTCCAGGCTCTGAGCTGTCAGCACAGAGCCTGATGCAGGGGCTTGAACCCACAAACCATGAGATCATGACCTGAGCTGGAGTCGACGCTTAACCCACTGAGCCACCCTGGCGCCCCTCCTTTTCTTCTTTTTAAATAGCCTGTGAAATCTTTTGTGCTTTTTATCTGCCAAGATAATAGGTTCTTTTTTTGTTTTTTAAATAAGAAAGCTCAGCTTGGGAAAATCATTGTTAACTGGCTGCTGTGTGGGCATTTGGGGGAAATTGCTGGTGTTCCATGTTTTTGGTATTTGTTGTTCAGAAGCAATTGTGAATAAAAACTTGATGGTCATATTCTAATCTGTGACTATTCACTTAAGTTTTTAATTTTTTTATGCTTTTTTGTTTTTTAATTTTTGAGACAGAGAGAGACTGAGCATGAGCAGGGGAGGGGCAGAGAGAGAGAGGGAGACACAGAATCCAAAGCAGGCTCCAGGCTCTGAGCTGTAGCACAGAGCCCGACACAGGGCTCGAACTCACGGACTGTGATCATGACCTGAGCTGAAGTCGGACGCTTAACCGACTGAGCCACCCAGGCGCCCCTATTCACTTAAGTTTTTAAAGAAATGGAATGAATATTTTCCCTTTTCTGCGTGCTTATGGTTGCCACCCAGATGCTGAAAGGTTCGTGTGTGCCCTTGGGGAAAGTCCTTTTAATCCCCACCTTATAAATAGCGTTTTAATGTCCTCAATAGGCAACACAGGGTAGTTGTGATATAGAACAGCGTTGCTCAATGTCTTTTTGTTTCCTTCCCCACAAAAGCCTTTTTATTTATTTATTTTTTAATTAATTCATTCATTCATTCACTCATTTGAGAGAGACAGATTGGGAGCAGGAGGAAGGAGAGAGAGAATCCTAAACAGGCTCTGTGCTGTCAGTGCAGAGCCCAATGGCGGAACTTGATCTCACAAAACCGTGAGATTATGACCTGAGCCAAAATCAAGAGTCAGACATTTAACCGACTGAGCCCAGGCAACCCCACAAAAGCCTTTTTTAAATAGTTTTTTCCTAATTGACCTCCTGTCTCCATAAAATTTTAATTCCATAGGTACACTGTATCTCTGTTTATGTGCACGTGTATATCTGTGTTTCCTACATAAAGAGTAAGGATTTTTTGTCTACTTCTTTCCCCCAAAGAATCAATGTTTGTCCCCTTGAGGTGATACTGCCTACAGCAGGAATGCATGGTTGACAGCAGTGAATTCTTGAAATTTTTGGTTCTAGGGCTTTTATATTCTCTAAAAGTACTGAGTACCCGGAAGAACTTCTGTTTATGTGTGTTCTGTCTGGCGGTATTTATCATGTTACAAATCAAAGCTGAGAAAAGTTGCAAAGTAATTAATTTTAAAAAATATTTTGTTAAAAACATCCATCCATTCCCTCCCCCGCCATCACCACCAGAAAGGTTTAGTGAGAAGACTGGCCTCGCTAGACATTTTTGCAAATTCTCTCTAAGGTCAGGCTTAATAGCAAACAGCAAGATTCTCCTAGCTGCCTCTGTTACAGTGTTAGAAAGAAAAACTGGGATCCTACAGGTAAGTCGCTGGAGAGGGAAGGAGGTACTGTCTCAGATAATAGAGCTTGCTTTCTTTTTTGATATTATACCCAAACTTGATAAGTTGTAGTTTCTTTTTTTTTTTTTTTTTTTAATTATTTTTAGCATTTATTTATTTTTGAGACAGAGAGAGACAGAGCATGAACGGGGGAGGGTCAGAGAGAGAGGGAGACACAGAATCTGAAACAAGCTCCAGGCTCTGAGCGGTCAGCACAGAGCCCGACGTGGGGCTTGAACTCACGGACCGCGAGATCATGACCTGAGCCAAAGTCGGACGCTTAACCAACTGAGCCACCCAGGCGCCCTGATAAGTTGTAGTTTCTTAAAGGGTTAATTGCGTTGTAAAATCTCCCAACTGTATATAAACTCTTCCTATCCCGTTATTTGAACGTTCCTTGGTCTCTCCCTTGGAATGGGCGATGGGTGTTCACCCTTGAAGTGACAGGCGCAGACGCACGTTGTCCATTTTGGGGAAAATGTCTGCCGTGAACTCAGGTCGGAATAACCAGATTTTGTCGGCCGGGCCTTGAAGTAAAACCCTCCCCCAGGAGCAGGGACTGGGCGGCCTTGGTGCTTCTGCGGTCGCTTTCCACGTGCTTCCCCGCTCGACCCACGAAGTCCCAATGAGACACGTGTTCAGGCTCTAGACGTGCCCGTCGGTCATGGGGCTGTGAGAGCCGTTGTGGGAGCGTGTGTCCCCAGTGACCGGAGGAAAGGTGTGACGTAACTCCCTAGCGTTGGCGTGGAAATGGTTTTGACCTCCCTAGGGCTCCGTGGAAGCACGCTTTGAGAACCACAAACTTGGAGCAAGGACTTCGAGCCGGACACGTGTATTGAGCCTGAGCTCCATCGCTTACGAGCCACATACGTGATCCTGAGCGGTTACCCTGATACCGAAACCGGACAAACACACTGTCCCTCGGGAACACAGGCCAAAAATCTCAACAAAGTGTTTGACCTAGCCCATCTTCGGCATATCTTTCTATCCCGCCTTTGCTATGTATTTTTAAATTTGATATGTGTACTTACAGAAGTACCCAGAGTAGGCTATACAGAGAGCAGAATGGCCAAGATTGGATTCTGAAGTGAGTCAGAAGGGTGTTTGCCAGAATCCCAAATTGTATTCCCAGGCTCACCTTCTAAATGGCCTCAGTGGTTTTGCGACAGTTCTTTTTAAAGACAAACGCTAAACCTGCTGCTTTGTTCTGTACTCCTGTCATATGCCTTACTGCTCTTGGCCGTGAAGTTTGCATTAAGTGCGCCCACCCCTCGCTCCCCACCTCCCGCCCCAGCAGTCTTTTCAAACAATTTTGGGGAAGAAAAAATCTGTTAATGGTAAACATTGAATGTGTGGAGGAGGAATCAGTCAAGGTTAGTGACAGAGCCTTGACCTCCTCTGGTAGTTCTTATCCCTCAGGGTCTTTGCACAGACTCGTCTTTAAACACATCCACTTTGGAGTAACCTTCGGTCATTTGGGAGAGTTTTCTTTTTCTTTTTTTTTAATAGCCCGTTACTACCTTCTGTCATGCTCTTCGTGCCAGGAATCCCCTATTTCTGCCGTCTGGGAGAAGGGTGCCTGGGGCCTTGCGTCTGCTGTGATTGATGACTCCTTCTCGTGTGCTCCAGACAGGCCCTCTGTCCTGGTAGTTTTTCATGTAAAATACTTAAAAAAGTATGTGTATTTTGCCCCAGTTAAGTAAGTTGTACCGTCATTTAAGAGGATTTTAAAAGTTCAAATCCGAAAACACCGTTAGCCTTGCCGTGCTTGGATGCATTCTTTCCTGTCCTTCTCGGTGATTAATGGATTTGTCCTAATTGGCAACAAACCATATATACATTTCATATTGTGCCTTTTCGTTTGTTCCCGGCATTCTCCTCCATCAAAAAGTATTCTAAAATGTCTTAATGACACAGAACTTTTGAAAAAAACTCATTCTGATATTGGGCATTTATTTCAAGTTTATCAACGTTACAAATGTGCTGCGAAGCACATCCCTCATATGTTATTCCTTGGTCTTTTTTCTGATCGTGCCCTAGTTATTCTGTCAAAGACCCTGTAGGAGAGTGACTGTTTCGGAGGGCACGGTTTAAGCTCCTGCACGTGAATCGCTCAGTTGTTTGCCAGAAAGATTGAGCGGGCTCCGCCCACCAGCAGCACTCTGCCCGTTTCTTCCTACCTTCACCAGCATTGGCATTCTGTAAAGTGCTTTTCAGACAGAATAAATTATATAAGTTAAAACGTAAACTTTGAGCAAAGGTGTAAATGCTTAGAAATTAATAGTATAACATGAGGCAAAACGTATAATGTGTATTTCTTATTAGGAGTCTAACTGAACTAGTCCTCAAGGGTTTTCATTAACGTTCCGATGGTGTGGAGTCTTCAGAACAGATACTGTGCCCAAGAGTTCTTTACTCTTTCTGAGCCAGTACAGACCTTCTTGTGTAGAGGGTTGGAGATAAAAGTTGTTCGTATCGTTCTCGTCTTTATTTTTTTTTTCTAACTTAGCCCTCGGTCTTGGGACAGGTGTACGGAAAGATTTAGGGGGGAGTATATGTGGGTTTTTATCATATAAAGCAGATTTGGATAATACACGACTGCAGTGTGCGTCTGCGTTCCTTACGAATTCTGTGTGCGTTTCAGGTGTGCAACAGAGAAGCATGGCTCAAGAAACTAATCACAGCCAAGTGCCTATGCTTTGTTCTACTGGCTGCGGATTTTATGGAAACCCTCGCACAAATGGCATGTGTTCAGTGTGCTATAAAGAACATCTCCAAAGACAGAATAGTAGTAATGGTAGAATCAGCCCACCTGGTAAGTAATCCTGTTCACACGCAGCAGTGTTCATAATTGAGATACGTTGGGAGAGCACGACGTACGTGATAGCGTTTCTGCTCTCACACTGTACCTCCATCCCTGCGTTCGTACCAGGAAAATTCCTCTTTCTGTGTTGTCATTATCACTGGTGTCCTCACCCATCGAAAGTAACTAGTATAAATCCGTTCAGCCTTACTTGCCGGCTTGCTCTTACTTACTTGCTCTGTTATCTTAGCTAGAATGCAGGCATCCTTCTTCGCGTACACGTATGCGTCCAGGTAAGTAAGGCGTAAGGGAGTGAGGGTTAGGAGGACCCAGGTTATTTTATCTGGGATGACCGTTGAAGCCGAGATGGCTGTAGAAGGAGAGAGTGGGTTCGAGGTGGCCACGGCTGACGTGACAGAGCCCGCCACCATCAGGAAGCGGAGGGGCAGCCGCGGGGCCGGGACCCAGGGCGCTCGGCACTGGCTCAGTGTGCTTGTGCGTCACCCTCTGTGCCGCGGGCTCTTCCGGGGTGTGGGGGTGTGTGTGTGTGTCCGTAGTTACCAGAAGGATGGGGAGGACTCTTTATGAGCTTTGCGGAGGTGGAGCGTTGATAGTGTCATCTGGGGTGGCTGTTGTACGGATCGGTGCCCGAGTGTGGGGTTTTGTGGTTAATGGAGGTGCAGGCAATTACTTCATTCACAGTCTTGTAGGGGGTCTATCTCATCATCGTTTCGTGTTCAAGCCAAAAGCTGGAAGCATGTAAACAAAATTTCTCTAAATTTTTCTCAAGGCTAAGATCAAATGAATATAGATTGTTGGGGTTTTTTTTTTTGTTTTTTTTTTTTCAGTTCGAGAGAGAGAGAGAGAGAGAGAGAGTCTGAAGCAGGCTCTGCACTGTCAGCGCCCAGCTGAACACAGGGCTCAACCTCACGATGCATGAGATCACGACCCGAGCCAACCGAGATTGAGTCAGACGGTCAACCCACTGAGCCATCCTGGTGCCCCAGAAATTGTTGTTTTTAACATGAAATTGTCATCTACATTTCTGCTTTGTGAAGAACCGTGGGAGGGGCACCTGGGTGGCTCAGTCGGTTAAGCGTCTGACTTCGGCTCAGGTCATGATCTCGTGGTTCGTGAGTTCAAGCTCTGCGTCAGGCTCTGTGCTCATGGCTCGGAGCCTGGAGCCTGCTTCGGATTTTGTGTCTCCCTCTCTCTCTGCCCCTCCCCCACTTGCGCTTTCTCTCTCTCTCTCTCTCTCTCTCTCTCGAAAATAAGTAAACATTAAAAAAAAAAGAACGGGGGAAAAATGTAGCCTCATGTGCTGAGCACAGATTTTAGTTCTGGACTTCTGTCCGCTTTAACTGCTACAGCTTTGATTCTAAATCCCTCCACGTATACAGCAGTGCTTGGAAGAGTTTGTGGATTAAAGGATCCAAGTGACATGGAGTCCTGAGAAACGGGAGTGTAGTTTATTAATATATACAGTTTGTATATGGTTTTTTTCTTGGTTGAAATTAGCTTTTTTCCAATTGGAATATTACTGAAACACTTTTAACGGAAAGCAACGAACCAGCATACTCTATATTCAGTAAAACAAGATTTCTAGCTGTTTTGCGGAAGATGGGTGGTGGTTTCTCAGGGAAGGTGTGGGGACGCCCAGAGCGCAGGGTCACTGACACCAAGCGCGGTTCTGTTGCAGCGGCTTCTGTTGGCACCCTGTCCGAGTCTTTCCCGGTCCAGTGCGCGGACGGCAGCGTCCCCGATGCACAGTCACCCCTAGACTCCACATCTGCATCCGTGCAGCCCAGGTAAGACACTGTGTCTGCACAGTGCCGGGAAAGCTGCCGAGGAGCAAAGCGTATCCTCTCTACGTGCTCGGGTCTCCGCGGGAGGACTGGGTCAGGTCACTTCGGGGTTAGCTGGCCTGAGAACGGCGGTTAGAAAGTCAAGTTTACCTTGGGAAGCAGTGGGGAAGGTGTCTTCTCAGTTCGCATTTCTTTTTCAGACGGCTTTTCCTTCGCTTCTGCTCATCCCATGTCCCGCCCCCGAGGTCCTCGTGAATTCAGGCGCCCAGTCCTGCCCCCCACGGCCCCACTGTGCGCAGGGCGGCTTTCCCTTCTTGCTCTGGGAGCACAGACCTACTGGCTTCGTCCTCACTCTGCTGTTAGGAAGCGGGGACCGGGTTTCCACCCTCTAGTTCTTTCTCCGCTTCATGATCGGAGACGCCCAGTGCCCTTCCCACCGCGGCATCAGGGCCCCCGGAGCCGGTCGTGACCACCGCGCTAGTTTTCGTGGGGTGCCTTTGTGCGCGGAGGGCGCTTGCCGCTGCTCTGAGTTCTAAAGCCGTGAACTCCAGGCCAGACCAGTCTCCAGTTTCATGGCTCTCTGTGCTAAATGCACAAGTTATAAAGAAGGATCTCTGTGTTTGTTCTTGCTGTGATGACTGCTTAGATATGTTGGACGCATACTTACTACATCATTTTAGGTACCGTTCATGCCGGGAAATCACTTTTAAAATCTCGATATTTTTGCTTTTCTAGCCCTGTATCAAATCAGTCGCTTTTATCCGAATCTGTAGCATCTTCCCAAGTGGACAGTACGTCTGTGGACAAAGCGATCCCTGACACGGAAGACCTGCAAGGTTTGCACGTGGGCTTGCGCGGGTTCGGTCCTTTACCCGACAGCTGGCTGTTACAGGCCAGGCCTGTCCGAGGTGCCGCTGTCTTTTAAATTGCCAGCCTCATATATAGTTTGCTGTTTGTCTTCTTTCAGAGCAGAACGTTTTAGGTCTTCGGGGATTTAATTGACTGAACTGTTGGGGGCCAGTTCCCACTTCTGTGTAATTATGTCATCAGTATAAAGTCGAAAGCCGTAAATGTGTTTAGTTGAGAGTTGTGAGTGAGTAGTGGGATTATATTCTCCTGTTCTCTCTTACTCTTATTCTTACCAGTTTAACCCAAATACTAGCTCCTCTCCAAGTACCTGGGGCTGCTGGTTTACGAGGAATCTCTTGTTTCTGACCTGGGCCGTCGAAGAGACCATTGAATTTGACCGGCAGTAGACCCTCTCCCGTCGGTAACCCACTGCGGCATCTTGCTCAGTGCCTCGTGTCCTTGCCCACACTCTGCACGCCCCCCCTTGTGTGGGTCACGGTGATCTGGGAGGGCTTTGTCGGTAGGCAGCGATCGTAGGGGAGACGCTTAGGAGGCTGGGAGGCAGACTGCGCTGGATGGGTTCTGTTCCACCAGCACGGGGACGATGGCTTTACAGAAGGAGGACACTCGGGAAAGGTGAGCCCAGGGTGACCATTGTGTCCCTCTGCCTCCGGCACGGTTCAGAGAGACAGGCTGCCCTGACAGTGACCCCCGCCACGGGACATCGTGCTCACATGACAGCGAGAGAAACTTCTGGCGATGTTAGTTTAAGCTCTCTAGTTCAGATGTAGTTGAGCTGGCTAATTTCTCTTGCTCTGAGTTTATGCCCAATAAATGTTGGCATAATTTTGCCCATCGTGGATTTTGCTATAGCAAGGATATGTACTATTTGGCCAACATAAGCATTATAAGTATAAATAATTTTTATTTCTTGGTTAAATAGAAAAACTTAAGGAGGGGCACAGATGAGGGATGGTTTCAAAGCAGTAAGAGAAGAATCCCTGAGATTTAGTTACGCATGAGACGCGGGAAATAGGAGCAGGGTGGTAAAGCTTTCGGTTTTGCGACAGTGGCGGTGGCGGGCTGCTTCAGACCGGGCGCTGGGAGAGGTGGCACGGCCAGACCAGGTGTGCGCGGGGCGTGATCCCATTTCAGAACCGAAGAGCTCGGCCGGAGGTTGTAGGTCGAGCATTGGTCTTTAAATGTGCGATCGGTGTCACGTCTGAGACTTGGAAGTCCTTGGCACACTTTGAAAAGTGAGAGGCTGAGATTAGGGGAGCAAGTCGGATAACGACTCAGCAGAAGGAGAAGTCATCTGGGCCCTGGGTTATTGCAGCCCCCAGGTGCCGACCACTAGAGAGTTTGGAGAAGCAAGGGTTGCTGAGAGCGAAGGAAGGAAAAATGAACACAGGCTGCTGACCTCGCTTATGTTCTGTCTCGCAGTGGCACGCACGTATTGTAGACTGTGAGCGAAATGGGTGCTGCGGGCAGACGTGGCAGCAGTTGGTGTCCACGGCCACCGAGGATGAAGACAGGGTGGTGAACGTACACCATGCGTGTGTGGAGGACGGCGTGGCTTTCTGCACTGAGTGGCCCTGGCAACAAGAGTACCAAAGGTGGCCTTGAAGCCACATTAGGAGAAATCGTAAGGCGTGTTGAAAATCTGTAGACTCCTTTTTTCACGTACGATTTCAGTGACCTTGGAGGTTAAGCCAGTAGCAGCTTCTAAGTACCTTTTAAAAACTCAGCATTCGTTATCTTAGCGTTGCAGGATCTCTGAGGAACCAGGTGTAAGTTTTCATTTCAGTTTAAGAGGATTCGTTTTCACTATTTTAAAAATGTCTTGCCCACCCCGTTGAATTAAGACTGTCTTCTTTTATGAGAAACGTGTACCCGAGTGCAGGTGTCCCCCACTGTCCAAAAGTAGAGCGTTTCTGTCAAGCCTTTTGTAAACCAAAACGGGATAAAGAAGCAAGTGCCATTTCATAAACACGGAAATTCTCTTTGGGTATCTACTGGTTAGCAAAAACAGGTCCTAACGTAGGTTTTTCGTAAAAGTGAAGGGGCATGAAGCAGACTCGCGGAGAGCGGGGCCAGGCGTGTGTGCGCTGCGTGCGTGCGTGCATGCGTGTGTACACGCACACTCCTGACACCGATGTGCTTGTGCTTTCCCTGGTGGTAGGAGTAAATGCAGAGAACGCTTTTCTCCGTCTATTTACTGGATGGACGAAAACTCAGAGAGAAGAAGTCTTGGACTCCAGCCCTACGGTGTCTGAGCTGGACTCCGGGCCAGAGTTGTGCCCACCGGCCGTGGTGCTTCCTAGATTAGGAGGTGGACGTGGCTTCCTGTCACCAGGGGCAGCCCTCCGTTGCCAGGGCGGGCTCCTCTGCTTTGGTGACCTGCCAAGTGTCTACTCCCTCTGTGTCCCTCAGGGAAATTTATCTAGATGGGAAGAAAATCCCAGATGGAAGAGGGTACGTGAGTAGCAGCTGTGTACCCAAGCCAGACTTTCCTGATTTTTTTTGTTTATTTTTGAGAGAGAGACCGAGTGCGAGTGAGGGAGGGGCAGAGAGAGAGGGAGACACAGAATCTGAAGCAGGCTCTGAGCCGTCAGCACAGAGCCCAATGTGGGGCTCGAACCCACGTACCGTGAGATCATGACCTGAGCCGAAGTCGGACGGACGCTCGACCGACTGAGCCCCCCCCAGGCGCCCCTCCTAACATTCTTCATTGGAGTTTTCAGATTAGGGTTCTTGAGACAGCTTTGTTCTCTGTAGGTATTCTGCTGATAATTAAGATTTGTTGCCACCAGGTGGGCGGTACCGCTTTCATTTTGTCCCCGTGGCTCCGAAGAATTTTTCTTGCGTTTAAATGAGTATTTAGCGTATTACAGCACGTTTCTCATTTCATTATTCTTTTTACTTTAACGGTTGGCGATACCTCACTTGCGTGGTCTCTAACTTAGGAATGTCGGATTTTCAGTTCACAAAAGGTAGCTTCAAAAATTCTTTTAAGCGTTTTGGTGCACTTGAAACCATCCTACTTGATTGTCTGACAGCACAGCATTGCCTCCCCCCCTTCAGTTCACCTGAGTCTCTCAGATGCAGGATCTTCCCCGAAAGAAGCGGCATTGGGGTCCGAGGTTCTACTACAGCGTGTGGACCCGACACCCCACTTCTCTGAGCCATATTTGTGTCGTAAAGGAGAGGTGCCCCAAGCCCGCGGGATAACGGGCTGACCGCACAGTCTTTACTCTGTGTGACGCCGCTTAAAACTCAAAGATTTCTTCTGACTGGAGAGGGTGGGCGAGAATAGCCGAGCGGTCCTGGAAAAAGTAGAGCAGAGTTCAAAGCGTACCACCTGCTGCAGTCCCCAAGACCGCGGGAACAGGCGAGAGGACACTACCGTCGGGCCCTGGAGTGACACCGGGCGTCCGGCGATACACCCCGCGGTTCGCGGGCAGCTGATTTTCCGCAGGGAGCCGAGACCATCCAGTAGGCGAAGCCTGGGCTTCAGCAGGTGATGCTGGGACACTTGAAAGAATGAGACCTCTCCTTCACCTTTTACAGACGTTTGCCCCAAAACACGTCAAAGACCCAAGTGGTAGGAGCTAAAACTGGAAAACAGGCATAACTCCTCGCGGCCTCGGGTGAGGCAGTGCCTCCTTGGACGGGACGCCTGGAGCACAAGGGACCGGAGGAAGAAGGGCGCATTGACCTACAGCAGAGTCAGGACCCGGGCGCTTCACGGAGCGCCGTCAGGAGCGCGCAAAGGCGATCCAGAGAATGGTTAAGAACGTTTGTGAATCCTGTGTCTGAGAGGAATGTGTAAAGAGGTGTCATCATTCAACAATAGAAAGACCAGTCTTTTAAAGGGCAAAGGAGAGGATTTGAATAGACGTTTCTCCAGAGAAGATACACAGACGGTCCACGTGTTGAGGATATGGAGGAATTAGAACCGTAATACATGTTTGTTGGGGATATAAAAGGACACGGCCTCTTCGAGAACCAGTTTGGCAGTCACAGATTTAATTCAGAAAGTTAGAGAGTTAACTGTATGGCCCAAGACTCCTTTCCTAAATCCCAGGAGATGGAAAGCCTATGTCCACACACACAAACTTGTGTAAGGATGTTCACAGCCTCACTGCTTACAGCGACCAACCAGACGGCCGTCAGCAGACAGGCTCTGAGCGGACACGGAGAGGCGGGCTCTGTACGCCCCGGAGTGCTGCTTGGCCTGGAAGGGAGACCGGTTCCGGGGCCTCCCCACGTGGGTGGGCTTTGGAAACAGGGCAAGCAGAAGAAACCAGGTACACAGGCCACGGGTTGAATGGTTCATTCGGACGGCAGGTGGGCGCCGTGAAGAGGGCTCTCTGCTGGAGAAGGAGCCCTGGGAGGGGAAGTGCTCGGGAACCAGCCAAGGGGCCGCAGCCGCCGGACGCCCGTTGGGGCCTGACGCCAAGAACCTGTCTAAACCAAGTCGTGGAAGATTCCTGAGGTGCTGGGTTCTGACCGGTGGGTAGGGGAGATCGCCTCGTGAAGTTCGGTTCCTTTTTCGTTTTTTTTAAGATGGCCCAAAGTCGTATTTCAAGAAGATTGATGTGACGCTTCTTTGCCCCCAGACACCTGCGAACAGAAACTGGTCTCGTGCACAGAGCTGCTCTGTCCAGAACGGCGGCCACTGGTCTCGGGTAGCGTGGGCACCCGAAGCGTGGCTGGGCCGGAACTATGTAGTTCAGTGCGTGCTCGTTTGCGGATATGCTGGGTTTTGAAGACTGAGTATCAAAAATATGAGAAATGTCTCGTTAATACTTTCATAGCAATTACATTTTTAAATGATGATATGTATTTTTTTTTTTAATGTTTTTTTAACGTTTATTTATTTTTGAGACAGAGACAGAGCATGAACGGGGGAGGGTCAGAGAGAGGGAGATACAGAATCTGAAACAGGCTCCAGGCTCTGAGAGGTCAGCACAGAGCCTGATGTGGGGCTCGAACTCACGGACCGCGAGATCATGACCTGAGCCGAAGTCGGACGCTCAACCGACTGAGCCACCCAGGCGCCCCTAAATGATGATATGTATTAACTTACCCTTCTTAAACTTCCTAACACGATGGCTGGAAAATATAAAATTAAATCTGTGGCCCGGCATATTTTTTTGGACCCTGCTACCATACGGGCTCATTTTTCTCACGAATATTTACAGTTTTCTCATTTTGTGAAGAATTCTTGAGCTAGGAGTAACTCAAAGATGATTCGGTCCACCTCCTCACTTCGCGTGAAACGAAGTACAGAGGAGGACAGGGAGTGTTACCGTAGGGGGTCATCGGAAAAGTGTGCACGCGCAGTCAGTGTCTGCCGTGCGGCCACTCTCTGTCCGCCCTGGGCAGAGGTGATGAGCGGGACCCTCGTCCTCCTGGGTCAGCAAGGCCCGGGGGTCACGTCGCAGGGGTGCCGTGTCCACCGTCAGCTTTGTCGGGGTGCCTGTTAATGTCCTCCTGTGTGTCACTTTTCACAATGTGTATTAAAATGCTCATTACACACTCATTAAAATGAGTGTATAAAACTCTCACTGTTATGTTTGTGTAGTTTTTTTCCTTAACAGGACCCAGAGTAGAGGGCCTTGTTTCTTTTGAATGTGATCATCCATGTGGGTAGTTGAACTATAATTTTATCTGCCCTGTTCTTTTTAAAATGTTTTTTAAGTTTATTTATGTTGAGAGTGAGAAAATGAGTGTGAATGAGGGGGAGGAGCAGAGACAGGGAGAGAGGGCGAGAGAGGGAACCCCGAGCAGGCTCCATGCTGTCAGCACAGAGCCTGATGCCGGGCTCACTCCCACAAACCGTGAGGTCGTGACTTGAGCCGAAATCAGGAGTTGGATGCGTAACCCACTGAGCCCCCCGGGCGCCCCCGCCCTGTGGTTTTGAAGCATCTTGAAGTCACTGGCCAATCGACTTTGTCTAGTTGAGATTCCCATTAAAAATGAAGTTGATTCCACAGCCTTAATGCCATCGCGCAGGCGGCCCGAGTAGACCTTCGGTCGTGCAGATACGACATAGGCAGCTGCCGGTCGCTAACCCTTAAAGAGCAGGTGCCCTCTTGTCTTCGGTGCTCATCTCAGATTGCGAAAAACTGCCCAGTTCCGAGCAGACTTCCTATTTTGGCTTCAGGTTCAATATGAGTCCGGCCCTTTTAAAAGACTGGATTGTTTCCTTTTACGTAATCATGAGCTTGATCAGGCATGCTTTGGTCGTAAGTCTCATAGAAAGTAAGGAAACAGAATCTCTGGGAATCGTAGACTTAACGCCAAACGCTGTATCCTCTTGCCCACGAATTGATTTGTGAAATGTTTCAACTCTAGCTACCGACCACTAGTTTGAGGTAAGCTAAGGTCACCTTGGTCCCCTGGGGATCTAGTGGACAGTGATCAGCGTCAGATGCTCGCCCCAGCTCCTGAGCTCTTAGATTCCTTGTGGACTCTTAGCTCTACAGGCTGTGCGTTTGCTGTAGACGGACCTTCAGGGTCCATACTGTGAAATGTCTTCCTTGAGACGCTTCCGTGCAACAGCATTCGTGTGTGTGGCAGGCGAGTGCCTGTTTTCACCTCTCTGTTTCCACATACCAGAGTTTGTGCCTCGGTAATTAAACCTGTCTTGTTAAAAAATGTTTTCTTGTGGTAGTGCTGTTACTGCCACTAAAGCATTGTTTATATGTTTATTTGAGTATCACGGTTTCTTGGGAGAACAGGTTAGATATTACGGCTTACAGATTTCAAAGACAATAAATACATTCTCTTTGGATTGCAAGTTAAACTATTTTTGAGCCCTTTACACATAGAGGGACGTTATCTGATATTGTTCCGGGGGCTAGGGATACAACAAGTAAACGACACTCCGCCCCTGCCCCCCTGGAGCTCGAGTCCTGAGGCTGTTTGTTTATTGATAATAAGAGGGTCCATAATGTGTTTCAAAATAAAACGTTCGTGTTAGTAGAACTGTCTCCCATCTGGCTTCAGAATTTCTAGGTGGAGTGATCACAGAGTTGCTCATTTGTGCGTGTTCACTTTTCGGTTTGTGCTGTTTTGTCTTCGTCGTGTTTTGTTAAAATAGGAGGTCATACGGTTAACATAGGTTAGAATCCATGACCTCACATGACTGAGAGCCCGCCCCGCGTAGCTCGCTGGACAGGAGCTGGAGGTGCAGACGGGAAATACGATACCGTCCCTCCTGGGTGGGCTGACCCCGTAATTGGGGAAACCGGGGCACGCGATTACAGAGGGCGAGTAGTTCAGGAATGAGGTTTGGGTCTCTGTGCGGCGCCAGCTTGCAGTCGGGGCTCGAGGATCGGCACCGGGAGCAGGAGTGGGAAGGACAAGCTCCCACCCTGGAGGAGCACACCGCTAAGCCAGGTTCAGGCAGACAGGCGGGTCCCACCGTGTGGGCAGCACTGCTGGGGCACACGGTCAGCTTCCTAATCCAGGTCGGTGCGTAGGGGGTGGGGAAGAGTTGATGGTAGACGCTTAAAAATGAGAGCCCCGTGAAGAGTGGGACCCGAGGACCGAGGGCAAGCATTCCACACGGAAAGGAGGCCGACGAGACCAGAGGCCAGAGACCGTGTGTGTTCAGAGAGACAGGCGCTTCGGGGCGGCTGTAGCAGGGGGAGGGTGCCGCCGGGCCTCCAGGCTTTGTCCTGGGGGTGAGTCACATCGCGGGGCGTGGGCTCCGTGCCGTGTCAAGTGTGGCCCGGAGAGGCACGCACGTGGCGGGCCCAGGATTTGGTGGGACTGGTCAGGGAGCCAGGGGTGATGAGTGAGCCTCGTGGAGAAGTGGGACGGCTTCTGTGGAGGAGGGGATACTCGAGCTGCTCCTGAGAAAGAAGAGCAGGTGGACCCAGGTGTGAGGAGGTCGAGCAAAGGGCCCTTGGGTCCCGGCCGTGGGTGGTGTGAACACAGGTGCCTGGCCCCACAGCGACCGTGGAGGGTCACTGTTTGGGAGCGGGATGGCGTGTGTGCTGGGCCACGTGACCGCCCCTGCCTGGTGACCGCGGCCCGGAGGGCTCAGTGAGGTAGGGTTTAGGTGCAGGAATTGGAATCTTGGTGCAGCCGGCCTTTGCTTCACTGCTTAAATGCGTCATTCTGTTACCCTGTTTGTAACATTCTACTACATCGACCTTGCTAACGTTTTAAAGGTTTTATGTGGAACATTCTGAGACTTTTTTTAAAATTTTTTTTTTTTTTAAACGTTTATTTTATTTTTGGGACAGAGAGAGACAGAGCATGAACGGGGGAAATTCTGAGACTTTTAAACATGGTGCTCTACCCGGTCTTGCTTTCAGCCTTTTTTTTGCCCTTGTTCTGAGAAATCTACATAGTTCGGACCCCAGCAATATTCAGAAGTTGGCCTGTAGCCATTTCCTTACACACTCCCGTAGAAAATACCCCAGGAGTATTTGTGTGCGTGCGTGCGTGTGTGTGTGTGTGTGTGTGTGTGTGTATGAGTGCTTGAACCTTTTATTTCAAATACATAATTTAAAAAACATAGGGAATGCCGTGCTAGATTTTGAGTCAGTGTTAACATATTGATATATGTTCTTCCAGATTTCCTGCTTGTGCACATCCACACGTACGTCACATGCACACATACATTTGAGGAATAGGGGGTCATATTATGTAATCAGCTTTGTAACTCCGTGTAAGCCTCTTCCAGGCTAACGGAGTCCTCAGTGGCCCTCACGGTAACAGACTGGTGGGGTGGGAGGTGGACGGCCACCAACCAGTGTCAGAATCTTACTGAATAATTAAACTCTACCTCCTTCCTGTTTTGTCAGCTTCAGTATCAGATACGGCGCAGCAGCCATCTGAGGAGCAAAGCAAGTCTCTTGAAAAGCCAAAACAGAAAAAGAACCGCTGTTTCATGTGCAGGAAGAAAGTAGGACTTACTGGTAAGGGCCAAAGTGCAGTGGCGTCAGCCTCAGAGTGTTCTTTAAAATAACGCGTGCCTTACTGTTCCAGGCCCCAGGAGGTTCACGTGTGTTCCCATGAGAGCTAATCCTGGATTCGTTCCCGCTTCTGAGTTTTCTTAAAGTGTCTTTAATTATATACCTGAGAGTGACATGAATAGATGCTCTTTTACTGGTCCATCCCAGCAGAGTCTTCGAATGTCAGACGGGTCGGGCCCGGGCGCCAGGTGCTCTGAGGGCCAGAGAGTGCACACAGGAGGGGACCCAAGCTCGGCGGGCCCCGCTGTGAGACGCACCGTTACTCGGGGAGGGAGAAAACGTAGCGAGATGCCACTTGGTTGTGGAGCAGAGGAAGCACAGTCAGCAGACTCTGGGAAGTCGGACAGGTGCCGCGGTTCATCCGAATGGAAGAGGGGGGAGTAGGAGCCCGTCACGGAAAGTACCACGACGGCAGCACGTTTGAGGCAGGCCCTGAAGGAGGGCTGTGACCCAGAGCTGATGGAGTAGGGGCGTTTCAGACAGAAAGAACAGCTCGACCAGAAGGTCGGAGGAAGGAAAGAACGGGGCCTCGTCAGGGGCCGCGGATGGGGAGTGTGGCCGCGGCACGGAGCATGTGAACGGGGGCGTCGGATACGCGGTGAGACAGAAACACGGACAGGCTCACGATGTGCATGCACTGTGCTTCCTGGTGGACGGCGGTCACAGCTTCTAAGCAATGACCATTTCTCGCTGTGTGTGCGCCAGGCGCCGTGCTCTGTGCTCCGTAGCATAAGAACTTGACGTACAGAGCTGACAAGACCGGATAAAATCGGATGCTTTTTAGGAAGGGTTCTCCCGCCAAGGAGTAGGTTGGAGACCAAGTGGAAAGGGGATTATAATCTGATGTCAGAGACACTTACGACTGGCCCGTACTTGGGCAAATGTGTTTATTTAGAGAATACAAGCACGGACAAATAAGACATTTCAAAATAGACGTATTTAGTGTCAAATACAGTCTTTCTGAGTCTCAGAAACACTCAGACTTCGTGATGGGAAGGTGGAGACTTAGTAATTTTCATCTTGTCCGGTCTGTCGGTCTGGCGTTAGAGTTGGCTTCATTTTCCATTCATTGTCACGAGGGGACAGAATGTGTTTCTGAAACAAACAAAAAGGTGGTAGAGGAAACTTCCATCAAACGTCAGTGTTCAAAATGTCGATTCCTGTGCTCCGTTTCCAGCAGCTCCGTCACATCAAAACACTCCATTATGAGAAGCAGGACCGGTTTTCTATAAAGGCCCTCCACCCACACTCTCGGGATCTCTCTTTCGGCTTCAGCCCTGTGGGCATTTCCCTAAAATTAAATCGCATTATTGCACGTTTACCGTGTATTAAGTGCTCACCACGTTCCCCATTCGGTCCCTACAGTAACTTATTCCAAAGTTACAGATGCAGAAACTGAGGCTCGGAGAAGCTCGGTAACTGGCCTGCGTTAGCGAGCGAATTCACGCTGAGGCGGCCCTGACGCACCCCTGGTCCTGCTCGCACCCCTGCTCCTGCTCGCGCTGAGCCGCGGGAGCCCCGCCCCCACAGGGTCTGCCGCGGGAAGCCAGCGTGGATCCAGGCCTCCCAGAAGTTTCCTTACAGCTTCTTCACTAAATTTTAAGGTTGCCTCTGATGGTGTGCTTTCCTGCACACTTAGAATTTGGATTTGAGAAGCGTTTTACATTCGGTGCAGCGATCCCGACTTTGGTAGGAAGTAATTGTGGCCACGTCCCAGGTGGAGACCCGAGCGCAGGGCAGCGGTTGTGATTTGCCGTGCTACGCACCTGTATTCGTAGGGTAGGAACGAGGAAGGAAGCGATCAGCTGGTGCAGTCTGAACCGAAACCGTTAACTAGGTCCTGCAACTGCCCAGCGTCCTTGTTTAGACGCCGCGTTGCGTAGCCTATGCTGTTAGTGTTGACGGTGCTAAGGCACCGCGCAGTCAGTCCCTCCCTCCCGCTCACGCATGTGTACTGATCCGTTTGCAGGGTTTGAATGCCGGTGTGGACATGTGTACTGTGGTGTACATCGTTACTCAGACGTGCACAATTGCTCGTACAATTACAAAGCTGATGCCGCGGAGAAAATCAGAAAAGAAAACCCGGTAGTTGTCGGCGAAAAGATCCAGAAGATCTGAACTCCTGCTGGAATACAAACTCCTTAGACCATCTGCAAACTAAAAGTTGACTTGAGGTCTTTTTTCCTAGTCCTGGGGAGTGTAGAGCAGTGTGCGTGGCACAGACCTTTTAATCATGCATGTCAACCAGAAGAATAGATTTTTGGTTTTGTTTTGAAAATGACTCTGAACATTTATTTCCATTGCAGTTTCTGTGGCTGAAAAGACTTAAGTAAACTTTACAAGTATTATCCTTCTAAGATCATTTTAATTTTAGTTGAGCGCAGAGGGCTTTTCTAACAAACGTGGAGACCTTTCGGAGGGCTGTGATTTTTCCAGTATTAAACATGCATGCGTTGAACTTGCAGTTTATTTTTCTCATTGTGTGTGTATATAGAGCTTTTCTCTGCAGCACGATTTCTCTTTTGATAATGCCCGTTAGGGCACAACTAGTTACCAGTAACTGAATGTATCTTAATCATTATGGCTGCTTCTGTTGTTTCATTAACAAAGGTTATACCTGTGTTAGCATATAGTTTCTTTGCACCCACTATTTATGTCTGAATCATTTGTCACAGGAGAGTGTGTGCCGATGAGATTCTACGTTTGTGTGTTTCTGAATTGTTTGAGCGAGGGAAGGAACGGCTGTGTGCGTTTCATCGCCGACCGCAGGCTTCTTTCGGTAGCGTTCACCGGTCTGGGTGTGTACACGATACGAAGAACGATCTGGAGTAATCGTGCTGTGTTTATGTTTACCCCACCTGTCTGTGATTAAATAAAAAGGAAAACCATACGCTTCCTTGTTCTGCCGTTTCTCTTACTCTTGCTGGCGGCTCACCTTGACCTGTGGTGCTTTCGTTTCTCCTCCACTGACTCCGCGCAGCTGCCGCCGCCGCCCTTGTCACGTCCGCTTGCGACCGATCTTGCCACGGTGAGTGGTGATCTCCCATCGCTTTGCGTGGAGGACCTCAGCGTTTCTTTAACGCCAAGAACTGCTCTCAGTCGCTCAGAGATCACATTCTCCGGCTCTGCTCCTCAGCCCGTCACGCCGAGTTAGCGTCTGGTCAGGAAGGAGCTCCTTTTTCTGGTCAAATTCGAAGCGGAAAGGGCCTAAATCAAACACGGCAGCTACAGGATTGTGGACGAGAGAGACCGTCTGTCCCATGGGTTTCACACTCTATCTGCCAGCCAGCCGTTTTTACCCATGAAATACTACGGAAAACAGATGAAAAGCACTATTTTACAATACAGATTTCTAGGTTTAAGTTTGTCTACCACTTCTTGGATGTAATGATGGCTTAGCGTTAAAATCTGTAAATGTAACGTATTTAAATGTAATCTGTCAATTTACTACATGAACAGATTCAAGAGAGAAAACCGTTCTGACTAGCTCAGCAGATTCAGGTTAAGCACCTAATAGAATTCAACACCCACTCATGATGAAAACTCTTGGTAAGTCAGAACCAGGAAGGAATTTCCTTAAGCTGATGGTTTCTGTGTAAAACCAAACAAAGAAATGAAAAGCGGCCATCTTCCAAAAAGAGGAAGCTCATTCCCTTTTAAAGTCGGGAACACAGGGCTGCCTGTGGTGAGTTGGAGATCTGTGTTCAGTAGAGTCAAAACAGAGTCAGTCATAGGAAGCAGTAAGGAGGAGATGCTCGATATTTGCATGTTAATCTGTTCTTAAAGTCTAAAGGAATCTAGAGAAAGTACTAGAAATAGAGGGTGTAGTTAGGTAGCGAGGTGTGGCATTACCTCTCAGAAGCCAGGTGCATTTCTTCATGGCAATAACTAGAAAGCCAGAAGATACCTTTTATGGCAGCATCATCACCAAGTACCTAGGACGTTAACAATACATACTGAAGGCCTCTTTAAGAAAACACTAGGGGCACCTCAGTGGCTCAGCCAGTTAAATCTCCGACTCTTGATTTCGGCTCAGGTCATGACTTCACCGTCCATGAGTTCGAGCCCCCCCGTGGGGCTCTGCACCAAGAGTCTAGGACCTGCTTGGGATTCTCCCTCCTCTCTCTCTCTCTCTACCTCTCCCTCTCCCTCTCCTCTCTCTCTCTCTCCTCCTCTCCTCTCTCTCTCAAACTTCAGAACTTTTTTCCTTTTGTTTTTCTAAGTATTATTAAGAGACAATAACTAAGACCTCAGTAAATAGGAAGAGACACGTTAATAGCTAGGAAGACAATAGTTGTCATGTGTCCCCAAATAGACCTATGGATTCAAATATATTCCAATCAAAATCACACCAAGTTTTCTCATGGAATTTGTTAAAGCAATTTCAAAATAAAAGGTGAAAGATCGCCAAGGGCTACAGCGTTTCAGAAAGGAAAAGGCAGGGCGGGGGGCACTTGTCGGATGTTAAGACCTGTTCACATGAAGCTATGTTAACGAAGAGAGCTCGGTGTGAGCCAAGGGCTGTACACGTTTCCCGGTGGAGCAGCCCAGAATGCCCAGAGAAGGGCACACGTGGACTGGACTTTGGTGTAAGAGGTGGCACGTCACATTGGGGAAAGAGAATTTGATAATTGGAGCTGGAATGACTGGGTATGTATCTGTGGGAAAGGGTGAAAGTTGATTTCCTACCTCATGCCATAGGAAGTTAATGTCTTAAATGTAACACAAAATTTTAAGACCTGGGGGAAAAAAGTAAAGATAACTGCTGCTTTGCCCTTGAGACATGAAGCATGAGCTGAAAGTTCTACTGACAAATCTGGCATTAAAATGAGGTGTTTTACACCCAGGAACACATTTAACCAAGGAGGAGAAAGACCTGTACACAGAAGACCTGGGTGAAAAAAAATGGAAGGTGGTACGAACAGAAAGATCCTCTGCTCACGGATTTGAAGAAATCATGTCGTCAGAATGCCCATAATACCCGAAGCAGTCTACAGACTCCATGCCGTCCCTTTCAACACACCAATAGCATCTTTCACAGAATCAGAATAAATGATCGTAAAATCGGGAACCATGAGAGGCCAAGAAACCAAATCAGTCTTGAGAAAAACAAAGGTGGAGGTACCACGTTCCTGGATGTTAAACTATACTACGGCTACGAGAAAGCCAGGACGACAAAAGCAGAAACAAGTGGGACTCCATCAAACTAAAAAGCTTTCACATGGTGAAAGAAACCATGGACAGAATGAAAAGGCAACCTATTGAATGGGAGAAGAGATTTGCAAATGACATCTATGGTAAGGGGTCAATATCCAAAATATGTAAAGAAGTGCATTTGAACACCCCCCAAAAATACTTGATTTAAAAAAAAAAAAAAAAAAAAA